ATCCTATTAATTTAATTTTAATAATATTCTAATCACGACGAATGGTCAAGATTTAAGCTATTTAACTTATATTTTCTGTAATTCTGCTATGAAATACGTTGAAAAATAGCAACATTATCACGATTTTTTTATTTATGTAAATAACAACGCTCTTGTTGCACTTCATGTCACGAGTATAATAGAGTAGCATTACAGTATCATGTAGATCTTAAATAACCCGTAAGAAAGTATATAAATACAATAATTGAATTTTTAAGCGAGGTAGTGTGATTTAAGAGCCGGTGCGATTTCGGCAACTTTACCCTAATATTTATGAATAGTTGGAGAATCTTTGATATATTTCTATTATAATAGAATTTATTTTTTTTGCAATAATTAACTAATCATTACATAATGATACCGTAAAAATGCATACTTTCGTCAGCAAATATCTTTTTTTATAATATTTGAAATGTATCTTACTTGTTGTTTATTTATAAGGTTACAAATAGCTTATAAACAAAGTAAATACGCCGTCGCTTCCATGTTTCATTAGGATGCATCATGTACGATCGTTTTGCTTTTAGTATAATGATACCTTTTAGATTCCAACGATTCTCATTAGTAAACATTGCATAAGCAATTCGCAAGTAATTAATGATGGCATCAAAGAGAATTTGTGATTTTCGGACCCATCGCAATGACCCTCTGGAACATTTCACTTAACATCCATTAAGTAACGCCCGAGGGACCACGCTGTCTCTCTTTTTCTCTCTTCCTTTCGGCCATAAGGCAACACTAGTCCCGCGAGAGCTCGAGGGATGTTTCTGACCGCCAATCAGCCCGGTGGGCGATAATCGCAGCTCGGTCACGTCAGTTAAAATCGCTGTCAATCCTGGCGGGTGACTCAAAGGCGAACTTTCTGCGTTGCGGTTGCTGCGTTCGATGTAATAGCAGCAGGGGGTGTGCGGGAACGACTATACCCGCCAATCCTATGTGCGTCCGTGCCGCTTTGCTCGGGGGTACAATGGAGCAGCGCGCCTGTTTCCCAGGGGGAATATCAGAGAAGAGGAGCGCGCACTCTCTCCTCTACCGACCGGTCGACGTAACCCACCGCCACCCATTGGCCACCGCCGCCGCCGGTGAGAGAGCACTTCCTGGTAGCCTCGGCCCTCGCCCGCAACCAGCCGCAGGCCACAAGCCTCGGTTCCTGCAAGCCGTAGTCTCTAACGTCACGCTACTCCAGGTCTGACCTCCCGTCGACAGCGTAATTGTTTAGAAACCCCTTGATCTGTAATTTCAGCACACCCAACCATCCTCTCCTTGCGCGCGCGAAACATCGTTAACACGATCCTACCGTCTTGCCACCGCCCGCGCCGCTACACATGGCGGCGTCTTCTCTCGCTGTCTCTCCCTTTTCGTTTTGGGCGTGCACGATAAGTACTTGATTGTTCTCGCGCGTGCATAACGTGTGCTTCGCACGCGTTTCAACTCTATGACGGTTTGTTTCGCGGAATTGAAGGAGGTATGCGAGGAATCGGTTACGATGCACCCGGAGAAGCTTACGGATCTTGGATGACTGACAACGGAAGGATACGAGAAACGTGCATCGCACAAAGCAGATGCATCGCTGATTATTACACTTGCGATTAAATGTTAAATTTCAACTTGCACAAATACATATGATTATTTCCTTAATAACTTTACATAACTTTTTAGAAATTTTTTTAATGGAAATTATTACTAAAAGTATACGTTGTGTATAGAATAATTTTTAAAAAATTGTGAAAACGTTATGCAAAATAATTTTTTATATTTTTTTGTACTCACGGCGACAACAATGACGACTGTTAAAAAAATTGAATATATCGTACAATAGTGTAGAGGTTCAGTATCAAACTTTTACACTTGAAAATGAAATAAAATATGTACATGAATTACAAAAATTTTCCATTATCACACGTTCTCTCTACTCTCTCTTCCTGCCCTTCTCTCTTTTGATTTTTTTTAAATAAAACAGTAAAACCAACGAGAGTACATTTCTAGCAATGACAGATTTATTCTACAGGTGGTCTGAAATTTAGGCGAATTTTGGTGAAATATATTTTTCGAGGGAAGATCCAACAGGAGAGGGGGGGGGAGAGAGAGAGAGAGAGAGAGAGAGAGAGAGAGAAGAGTTCCTGTCCGACCAGAACGTGACATCAAATTCTTTTTGACGGAAATAGTTTCTCGGAGTACACGGGAAACTTCAGCCTCGTCCCTTTCATTGGAAAATGTGTACGACGTGTGACTTTTACTCAAGTCAACCGCATGTTACATACGACATACACTTCACATCCATCGCTCTCTCAGGTTCATGAAATTCTTTAGAAAGTCACGTATGCACGGTCGTCTGAGCAAATTCATAGGAATGCGCGTCCGTTTAGCTTTTAAATTTTTAAATTGTTCATAATTTAAAATTATGCTTTCTTTAATCTAAAATTATGCTTTGTGCAAAATTTATGATTTTCGATTTTTAATAATAATATAAAGTATATATACACATTGTATTGTATAAAAATATTTAATAAAGTTACTCTTAAATTTTATTAAATTTTAAATACATTATTTTATCCTATCTGCTATGTGCAGACGAATTTTGAAATTTTGAGATTTTGAAATTTAAATATAATATTCGTATAAAAAATAAAGATACGTTGATAAAAACCAACTTACGATATCCTCCAGTTTTGAGCATCCTTTCCTGGCGGTGCACACCAAGGCGACGATGACTCCACCTCCAAACATAAGTAGGAGAAACACCGCCAATTTCCAACCGTGATCTCTTTGCGGGATGAGTTTCTTGGCCGCCGGTAACCTGGCGACTTCCGCCGTAGAAACGCCGATGCGAGACGCCCTCACGAGGACCGTCCTAAGGCGTCTCGACGCCTTCTCACAGGCCATCTTCGTTGGGTTGCTCTTCGAGGCCGATCTCGATTTCACGTGCACGTGATCCATATCTCTGGAATTTTCTCACCGTGTTTCAGCGTTCTCCAAACAAATTACACGCGTGAACTCGCCCGATTCCCTTGCGAAGGAGAGATCCTAAAGCTCCCCAGCTGCTTGCAGCCAGTCCAAGTTCCGAGCAGCGCACGAACAGACATCGGACGAAGTATCGGAGTATCGGTGATATCCGGAAATGAACTCTATCCGCGGGCGACGATCACAATATCTACTTCGGATACGGGATTCACTGAACTCACCCACGCTACAATCTACGCGAGTATTCAAATATCGCGCGGTCCATTTCGCGATTGAATTCCTTCGTGTCGAACACGTCGGGCAACGTCTCTTCGGAATTCTGCCGGACCAGGGGTTTTAACGGTTCATCGCACTGCGTCACTCTCGCGTTACGTTCACTTTGCGAGTATTAAAGACCGTAGAATTGCACAAAGGAATATCATTTATCATTATCTCCGTCTCTTCAATCTGATTTCTCAATCAGCCCGATTATTATTAATACTTCAGCCTTCTATTTTAATTTTGAAAATTGCGATTTTTTTGTACTCCGTAATTATTTTATTCGATAATGTGATGTTATTCGCCACATTTTTGCGACTATTGAACTATTCGGTAATTTGAAACGTTGTGGTCGTCGTTGTCGGCCTCGTCGCTCTTACGTGGACTCTTCCACGAGTTTTACGATGCTACCGGACGATCCCGTGCTATCGCGGAAGCACTACAGCACCCTCACCCTGTAAACTGCGAACGTAACGCGTTCCAAGTCGTTATACTTTTATGCCTGCGATGTGGGAAGACGCGAAACGACGATGGGGCTTGAATGAGAATCCAGGAGAGACGAAGAGCAATGGGAATCGCCGGCCAAATAGAGAGGATTTCCGTAGAGAGGTGTTATGTCTCTCCGGATCTTACTATTTACCGAATGATACTTGCGACTTACCCTTCGTTGCCTCGATCCGTCCTGGCTTTTGACCACCGTCAATTTTTCACGCGTTTACGTAACGTTGCGTTGTTTAGAGGGCGTTGCTTATCCGCTTTTGTCAAGATAGAGTAGATAATATTTCAAACGAGATTTTGGGAAGATTGATGATGAAGATTTCGGATTAGATTGGCCAGTACTATCTGCTTGTCTTCGTCTTCGCCTTTTGGGTTGATCCAAAGAGAATTTCACCCGATGCAGCTTGCCTTCTTGAGTTGGCGAATCTCTCGCTCCCGTTCATGGGTCGAGGAGAGAGACTGCTTGTTGTCCGCTGATCGAGCGACTAACGTGAGATCCGAGCTCTCATGAAGATACGATTAATCTTGCAGTACGATCATTTCGCCATGACCTGATGACCGGAAAGGAAATTAATTCTCCTCGATCGAACAAGCGCTCACACGACGGCCTCATATTCTTTC